GCTCTGGGGGTGCTCTTCCTGGCGGTACTGGAGCTGCTGGAGCTGACGACACTGGAGCTGACGGTTCTGGACACGGTGGTCCTGCTGGTTCTGGAGGTGCTGGCGAGGGGAGGTCTGACGCTGCTGGGGCCTCTGGTGCTGACGTCGCCGACTCTGGGGGTGCTGCGGCGGAGGGTGCTGGTCCTGGTGCTTCTGGTGCTGCGGGTGCTGGAGGTGCTGGCGGAGCTCCGCCGTCGCGCCTGTTCTTCGCTCCTCCGTCGCCGTCGGCTTTGCCGCCGCCTGACACGGTGCTTCGCCAGGTTCTTTCCCTCCCGTCTTCCACTGGCCTTCCCCTCCAGCCTGGCTCCCCCCTCCCTGCTCCTGTGCCTTACACTGCACAGCCGGACTCGCTTACGGAGCGTCGTGAGCCTGTGTCTCGTCCTGCCTCGCCTGTTCGTGCTGCTCGCACTGCTCGCACTGCGCGCACTGGTCCCACTGGTCGTCGTGTCGCGCGTCCGCGTCCTCCTCCTGTTCCTGGCACGCATATTATGGCCCTTCGTCCTTCCACTGGTCCACAGCGTGTCCCCCTACCGTCTCCTCCTGCGTCTTCTCTTCCTGACGTTCCCGACCCTGAGTCTGACAGTGTTCGTGCTGCCCACCCTACTGTTACGCGTCTTCTCGCCACTGTTGTCACTGACCCGTCGTTTGAGTCTTCTGCTGCGTCTGCCCTGGTCGCTGAGCTTGTCGACTTTGCTGCTGCCTGTCGCCTAGACTACGCCGCCAGTCTTGTTGCTGAGTCTGAGTCTGTCAGTCCTCCGTCCGTCGGGGGTGAGTGTGCTCTTGGCACGGACGTCCTTGAGGACAGGCAGGAGGACTTTGACTCTCTTGCGGCTGCTGTACCTCATCTCGTGGCCTGGTTGCTTGCCCCTGAGGGAGACCCGGATGCACTAGACATCCCCACTCCGCGCTCTTACGCAGAGGCGATCTCGGGTCCCTACTCCTCTCAGTGGCAGACAGCCATGGACGCAGAGATGGCATCCTGGAAGTCCACAGGCACCTACGTCGACGAGGTTCCCCCTCCTGGGGCGAACATCGTCGATGGCATGTGGATTTTCAGGGTGAAGCGGCCGCCAGGTTCTCCACCTGTCTTCAAGGCTCGTTACGTTGCTAGAGGCTTCAGTCAGCGTCAGGGGGTTGACTTCTTTCAGACCTTCTCCCCCACCCCGAAGATGACCACTCTTCGGGTTCTGCTGCACGTTGCTGCTCAGCGTGACTACGAGCTTCACTCTCTTGACTTCAGCACAGCGTTCCTGCAGGGCAGCCTGCACGAGGAGATCTGGCTGCGCCGTCCACCTGGCTTTACTGGGTCGTTTCCTCCTGGTACCCAGTGGAGCCTCCGCCGGCCAGTCTACGGTCTCCGCCAAGCGCCACGTGAGTGGCACGACACACTGAGGACTACACTTGCGGCTCTTGGGTTCGCGCCGTCTACTGCTGACCCGTCGCTGTTTCTGCGCACAGACACGTCGCTGCCGCCGTTCTACATTCTCGTGTACGTCGACGACTTGGTCTTTGCTACTGCTGACACTGAGGCACTCGCTCGTGTGAAGTCGGAGCTGCAGAAGAGACACACGTGCACAGACCTGGGTGAGCTGCGCAGTTACCTTGGCTTGCAGATCACCCGGGACAGAGCACGCCGCACCATCACCCTGACTCAGTCACACATGGTGCAGCAGGTCCTTCAGCGCTTCGGCTTCCAGTTCTCCTCACCACAGGCCACACCTCTGGCTACCAGCCACTCGCTCTCAGCTCCACCTTCGGACGAGTCCGTAGAGCCGAGTGGCCCGTACCCAGAGCTTGTAGGCTGCCTCATGTACCTGATGACTTGCACGCGACCTGACCTCGCGTACCCTCTTAGCATCCTTGCTCGTTACGTTGCGCCTGGGAGACACAGGCGAGAGCACTGGGAGGCTGCTAAGAGGGTGCTGCGTTACTTGTGCAGTACATCAGGCATGGGGCTGGTGCTTGGAGGACGCGACAGAGTTGTCCTCACTGGTCACTCGGACGCTTCTTGGGTGGACGACTTGGCTACGCAGCGGTCGTCGCAGGGTTACACCTTCAGCCTTGGCTCTGGTTCTGTCTCGTGGCGGTCCTCTGGTTCTCAGCTCTAGTTGTGAGGCTGAGATCTACGCCACGGCCATGGCTGCACAGGAGTTACGCTGGCTCACCTACCTGCTGACTGACTTGGGAGAGCGGCCTAGTTCTCCTCCAGTTCTGTACGGCGACAACAAGGCGGCCCTTGCCTTGTGTCAGGAGCACAGACTGGAGCACAGGACGAAGCACATTGCTCTTCGCTACTTTCTTGCTCGAGAGCTGCAGCAGCGCGGTCAGCTTCGGCTTGTGTACGTGGACTCGAAGGCCAACACTGCTGATATCTTCACCAAGGCGCTCCCGCCTAGTGATCATCAGCGGCACTGTACTTCTTTAGGCCTTGTGTCCACATTCCCTCATTTGCTTACTGCTTGACCGTCTTTGTACTGTACTTTATATATATCTTGTTGCTTGCTTGCTAGGTCTGTCAAAATGTTATTATTGTCTAGCCTGTAGTGGGGTGCTCTATAGCGAGTACAACCCAGTTAGGGTTTGCTATATGTACCCCAACTGCTGCTAGTGAAACCCCTCTCCTTTCAATCATTCTTGCCTAGTTCTCTTAACATGGTATCAGAGCAGGTCGACCCCCTTGGGTCGATCCTGTGGGTGGGCCCGCCACCTAACTGCTTCCGCTGCTATTCTGCTTCTCGCACGCCTCGGGCGCGCGCCGTCTTCTTCCTGCCGTGCGCTCAGGGCGTACGGCGGTTTTCTGCCCGCCGTGCGCCCCGAGGCGCGCGGCGGTTTCCTGCCCGTCGTGGCGCCCCCGGGGACCTGCGCGCTGCCCCCCGTCGTCCTCCTCCCGTCGCCTCGTCGCGGCGCCCTGGGGGCCCGCGCGTCCCCCCCCTCCCGTCGCCGTGCGCGGCCCCCCTCCCGTCACCCGCCGTGGCGCCCTCGGGGGGCCCGCGCCCTGCTTCTTCGTGGCGCCCAAGAGCCACCCCGCTGCCTCCCTTTCCCTCCGTGCCCCGCCCCTGCTGTTTCCCGCGCTCCTGCCTGCGTTAGGGTTTGGGGGTGGCGGGCATGGGGGTGACCGGTGTGGGTAACCTGCGGCTCCTCCTCCTCCTCCGTCTCCCACTGCTGCAGCTGCCGCTGAGGGGGGTGGGTGTGTGGGAGCCGAGGGTTTAGGGTTTAAGGGGGGTGCCGTGGAAGTGGAGCTAGGGTGTCAGCAGGGGGTGTGTGAGAGGGGCGTGGGACGGTCGGGGGAGGTTGCGTGGAGGTAGCCGTCGTGACGCCAGCAGCGCCAGTAGTCCGGATGCCCTCGCGCGTTTCGGTAGCCCAGCGAGCCTGCTTCGCCAGTCGCCTGTGGGTCCGTTGCTCCTGTGTGTGCTCGTCGTAGCCGCGGAGCCAGATACTCCCGTAGTCCGGTGCCCTCGTGCGCTCGGTAGCCACTGTGCGCGCCGCTCCTGTTGCCCGTGTGTCTGCAGCTTCAGTCGGCGCCTTTCATCTTCTCGCCCTCACAGTTTCTCCTCCTCCTCACTTGCCCTCTATGATCACCTCTAGCTTTGCTTATAATTGTGAACTATTGCTATGCCTGCTCATTGTACTGATTACACCCCACTTTGGCTATGGGGGTGTGTCAAAATGTTATTATTGTCTAGCCTGTAGTGGGGTGCTCTATAGCGAGTACAACCCAGTTAGGGTTTGCTATATGTACCCCAACTGCTGCTAGTGAAACCCCTCTCCTTTCAATCATTCTTGCCTAGTTCTCTTTACAAGGTCTTGATCACTGTGTTGCTTGTCTTGTACTATATCTAGCACTGCATGTGAACTGGCCTTGTGGCCTTTGCTTGTGCTCGGAGTGTGGTGACGTTGTGATCCACCCTGGGCTTGCGTTGCTTTGCTGGACTGGTCTTGTGACCCTTTGTTCTCCCCCACTTTGCCTATGGGGGTGTGTTAAATTGTTATATGTTGGTAGGCTGTAGTGGGGTAGCCAATATGGGGTACAACCCCAACTAGGGTTTGCTACTTGTACCCAACTGTTTCATTCAATGCATCATTCTTACGCTAGTATTGTGATAATAACACCCCCCCCGCACAAGCTACCCGGGGGTGTACAATTCGGGGTGGGTGTTTTATCCGGGGGTATACGGTAAAATTGTTACGCGTACGGTCATTGTATCGGGATTCCTGGGGGGTTTGGTAAGTGGGGTCACGGACCCAGTCACTAACAACAGGTAAAAAATCATGCGAATGGTCACACATGTACCGTAACTCCCGCCAAAATTTCTTGAAACTCTAAAATTTTCCCGCTCGCGCGCAACCAATCAGCTAACTTCGTAAAATACTAAAACCCAATCGGAATTGGATGCAGTTTGGGGACGGATCAACCCTAAACACCTGGCGAATTGTGTTTAGGGTTGATTAATCCGAAAATGCATCCAGGTTCCTTTCGGGTATTATCGTTTTTAGGCGGGAGTTTCATCTGTGACCATTCGCGTTATTTATTCCCAGTTGATTGTGACTGATTCCGTGAAATGCTTGATCGAACATGTGACAACACCCTTTGCAGTGAACGTACCCGTTACCTTTTTATCAAACATATTATCGAGATCCTTGTTGATTACGAGTGGCATATTTTCCCCCAGAAATGTCTTACATTTCCAGATATACAGTAGGGTGGGGTGAACAATATTAATCTGATGCACAGATGGTGTAAAATCATAAGTTATGATTCATACAGAAATGTACACATGTAGGCCTTGCGGTATCTCAATAGAGGCAGGTACCTTTGCTCTTGGACTGGGGTCTGGACATAACAATGATCTGAATGTCCACACAACCAGCAACAAAACTCAACGCATTGGCCTTGAATGGGTGTATTATTGCCTACAACAGTAGTATAAAGCCGAATATTCACACAAGAAGCCCAACCCTCTCTAATCAACAATGCCAAAATTGGAGAGCAGAATGTAGAGCTGGTCTGGAAAGTTCACCCCTGTGGCGTATTCTGTGAGCAGACCGACTGCCAGACCAAACATAGCCCAGCTGCAAGGACAAAATACATTCCAAGTGGTGATCATGATACCGCATGAGCAATGAGCAGGGAGGGAGGGGCAAAGGGAGGGAAAGAAGGGGCAGGGGTTCAGAAAAGGGGAAAGAAGATTAAGGTAAGAGGACAGGAGGAGTGATGGAGATCTAGGAGATCGAAAAGCAGGAGGTAACTAACTGGTTGTAAGCAGAAAGAGAGGGGAGAGAGAACGGGGAAAGCGTGTGAGGGGGAGGGATTCAAATGGGGATAGGAAGAGAAACTGAGGAGTGTGAAGGAGGGAGGATTTAGATTAATGAACAGTGAAGGGAGCGCGCACTAAAGGATGGGAGCAACGGCACGATGGATTCACAACCTAATTGCAGTTTGAGGAGGCGCCCGGCGAAGCGGGGTAGTCGGGTGCCAAGGCGATTACAATGTACGAACACCCTTCATGCCAAGGCGATGCTGACAAGGATTTGCAATGCGTTACGCAAACTCATTCCTGTGGCATTTTCTGGCCACTTGGGTGTTAGATACAGCCCTACTTCTGGAAATAAACCATTTAAATGGAGCGCATGGGAACACCTTGTCGCCGTTGCACAATTTCAGAACTCGTTACGGCGGTTTTCTGGGGTACACGCAAAGACCGAAAGGGGACGAGGATGCGACAGCAAAAATAATTGCAACGCACCGTCCGTTGCCAATCTCGTTCTTTGTGGTGAAGCCGAGCACCTTCCCGTCCCGCACGTCCTGCTCGTACTTCTTCTCCTGAAAGTACGCCACCATCTCCTTCGCCGCCTGCCTCTGATACTCCACTGTCACGCCAGCCGGAACCGTCGCAGCCGCGGAGAACGCTGGACTGGCAGGAGCCGCGGCTGTTGGAGCATCCGCTGATTGCGGAGCGACGGGACCTGGTCGCCGGATGGGCTCGGCTTGGCAGATGACGGTGCATCGGCGTGTGGTGGCGGCTGTTCTGAGAGGAGCGAGGGACAGCTTCAATGTGGACGTTGCTGACGACATGGAGCACGCGAGAGCCATGGCGCCGTGACGTAACTGATATGAGAAGGAGAATGCACTAAAGTATCGAGACGCGACGTCCGGTCAGACCGACGGCTGAAGAAATAGGCTTGTGAATTGACGTCACGAACAATTCTGTGATGGCGGTCTACAAATTCTATCTCTCGACTCTCAAAGAGCTGGGCATGGACGTCATAAAACGGGGAGGTGGGCCAACCAACGGCAGGGGCAGCCAACTGGTCACTCGGGGAAGCCACGCAAGCCTTGAGATTTGTCGCGCTCCAGGGGCCAACGAGGGGGTTCTCCCTGGACTGGATGCGAAAGGTCCACGTCTCCTTCGCCAAGCCGAGGCTCCTGGGGACTACGGTGGTGCCACGTCACAGGTCCACGACAGATTCTTCCGTTATACAGCATGCGCGAAATGACGAATTGAGTAACTTTGAACGAAGGAACCTTTAGTCCACATGGGCAATGGGCATCCATGATGGTTACTACGTGAGAGTGAATTTCATTACTGATAGCGTGGGCTTTGACTAAATGAAAATGTACAAGCAACAAATGGGACAAGTTTACAACTACAATTAACGCCACAGCTTCTTCAGAGACATGTTCTGCTCCGAATCCTTCTTCATGACCTTCCCCACTGCCATCTCAAAATCTTCCTGTGTCACATGGACCCTTCGCTCCCGTAGTGCAAACATGCCAGCTTCCGTGCAAACAGCCTACAGGATAGGTGTGAGAAGGGAGAAATGGCATAAGTTAGCTTCATACCCCTCAAAGTCAGATGATTAATTAGAAGCGACCCAACCCAACTCATAGTGAGCTATCCAGCTACTAATACAACTTCAATGGCTTTGGAACTCACCTTGAGCTCAGCACCACTCGCTCCATTCATCTTCCCAGCTATCTTAGAGAGGTCAATGCCTCTCATCAAGTTCATCTTGCGAGAGTGGATCTTCAGAATGTCCACACGAGACTGAACCAGACAACACGACAAAGATAGTGCTCGGAAAAAAGGTTAACAAGCTCCTCACAGTGAAATTCAAGGAATGGCACAATGCAGGAAACTAGAAACTATAACCAGGCAGCACAAGGTGTGCTCAGTAACAGAACGAATTGTAAAAAACTAGTCTTACGCAGAAAAGAATGCATCCAAAACATCCTCTCACCTCTTCACTTGGGTTGGGAAACTCAATCTTGCGGTCGATGCGTCCAGGCCTGAGCAGAGCCGGGTCCAAAATGTCAATCCTGTTGGTCGCCATCAGCACCTGCCGAATGGCCGCCACACCAGACAAAAAAGAAATAAAACGAACCAGATCATAAGCACATGCCAAGCGACCTTCATTGTTGGAAACGAACATCAGATTAATGAGCGAGGAGTGCAAAAGGGAACAGTCAAGCAGAACCTTGTGACTAGAAATGCCGTGCTGCTGCAGCACACCTTGATCTGGTTGGAGGCCTCGAAGCCGTCAAGCTGGTTGAGCAGCTCAAGCATGGTGCGCTGCACCTCGCTGTCCCCGTTGCCACTGCCCGACTCCATGCGCGCCGACCCAATGCTGTCAATTTCGTCCATGAAGATGATTGATGGCGCGTGCTCCCTGGAAGGAAAAAAAAAAAGGGAAACCAAAAGGAAATGTAGAAATAGCCAGTTGCGAAAAAACTGGGTTGGAAACAGTGGAGGCCGAGAGGTGAAACCGACGACTTTGCACAACAACACACATCTAGAGGGTGCAGCAACACCTAAACCTAATGCAACCGATCTGTGTTGGCAACCTACCTGGCCATGACGAAGAGTTCGCGAACCATGCGAGAGCCCTCTCCAATGTACTTCTGCACGAGCTCTGACCCCGACACGCGGATGAACGTGCAGTCCGTGTGGTGCGCCACCGCTCTCGCCAGCAGCGTCTTGCCCGTGCCGGGGGGCCCATACAACAGCACTCCCTGAAAGGCAAGAAAACAACCATCAGTATGAAAATGAAAAAAGACCAAAACCAGAAAAACCGAAGACACCAAAACCTGAAGAATCAAAGATACCAAAACCAGAAAAACCAAAGACACCAAAACCAGAAAAACCAAAGACACCAAAACCAGAAAAACCAAAGACACCAAAGCCTGAAAAATCAAAGATAACATTTTCAGTTACAGGTGTTAACCAGTAGCCTAGACCTGCTGAATATCAGCTGAAAAGCCGAGCCTTACCTTGGGCTGGGCAATTCCAAGGCTCTCAAAGAGCTCCGGGTGCTTGATGGGCAGCTCGATCACCTGCAAGCAAGGCAGGGTAACAAGGAAGAACGACAACACTGAACACCCCAAGCCCCAGGAAAATCTCACGCAGACAAAGGGAACATCTCTGTGTAAAAACACATTCCACGATCAATACTGTCGAGATTCCTGGCCTTGATCTTCTTAAGTCTCCGTGATTTTCCAGCCTCACCTCCTTGATCTCCTTGATCTGCCCGCCTCACCTCCTTGATTTCCTTGATCTGCCCGCCTCACCTCCTTGATCTCCTTGATCTGCCCGCCTCACCTCCTTGATTTCCTTGATCTGCCCGCCTCACCTCCTTGATCTCCTTGATCTGCTGGTCCAGGCCGCCAATCATGTCGTAGGTGGAGTCGGGCACCTTCTCCACACGCATGAGTGACACCAACGGGTCCACCTTGCTGGGCAGCACCAGGTGCAGCACGTAGCTATCGTTGCGCAGTGCCACTCGCGTGCTCGGCGTCAGCTTCGTCAGGTCGATGCCCTTGTCCACGTCCACCACGTACTTGCCCTCAGGGTGCACCTGGGGGAGGGGAATAGAGGTGTGTAGAATACATGTGAGAACCAACAGCCATCAGATGTGCGATGCCCTTGTCCACGTCCACCACGTACTTGCCCTCAGGCAGAACATAAACACCGTGAAAAAAGAAAGGTGGGGTGAAAGAGCGGCAACTCAAATGGCTTATACGTGGAAAGGCGCAACAAGCAGGCGATTTGATGACAAAGATATATCAGCTGCTGGCAGGAAGATGACGCACCTTAACGAGCACCTTGGTCTTGCCCATGACCTTGACCACCTCACCCACATAAGACCCCGGCTCCTGCAGCAGCTGCAGCTCCTCCTTCAGCGCCCGCACTGCACGCACAAGGATGGGTCCACGAGAGGCACGTTCATTTATGAAATGGGAGACTGAAACAGCACAGCACAGCACAGTACTCTAGCGCTTGCAGCAACTGCAGCTCGTCTTTGAGCGCCCTAGTGCATCCAGGACGGTACGTTGGCCGGCAGAATCATGAGACTAGAGCAGCAAGAGAATCAATACATAGAGCCACGGAAAACGAGCATGTATGCAGGCCCACAGAGAGACGGGATAGACGGGAGAAATAGGAGACATGGGAGAGACGGGAGAGAGCGGCACGGTTATGGATGAGAAAAACAATTACGAGATCTGACACGTCAGTCGGATGTCATGATACGGGAAGACGTTTGCACGCGAAGACGCAAATACATAAAAGAGGCTTCATGACAAGGGAGTGAGCGGACACACGAACTGGCATGTCCTTCGCTCTCATGCAAAAACGGACTGGCCACGAGATCTGGATAGAGTGGCTGACACATCAAACTCGTGACTGAGCCGACATCACGATGCGTGAAAACATCCGTTCTGATCAAATTCACCAAATTCATTTCTGGACTTCCGAGAATCCGAGAAATGATCAGTGCCGTGTCGGACTTGAAATAAGTGGAACAAATTCAGACCACCCTTTCAGACCGATCTGTATGTAGTCTGGATTGCATCGAGTCTCAACTCAGCTATGTCAGGCGTAAATCTACCTTTTGCGTTCAGCTCATTTCGTTGAGCCTCGAGCCGACGAAGATTCTTGGTCTTCTCTCTGAGGTTGACATCGATCTGCTCGATTGCTCCTCGGTAATACGTCGCAAGCCCGTTCTTCCCGCTCTCCACGCCCATCGCAGCGACGGAATATACACGAACCAGCTTATTGAGAAGTAACGCGCGAACGACGTGACCGGCAAAAGAGAAATCGATTAGCAGCTCGTCAATCCACCTGAGCGGTACTTAGGGAGTATTCCTAGCTTTGGGACATCCGAGCTTTGGGACATCCCGAAATATTTTTTCCGAGCCGCGGGACTTCCGACTCGAGCTTCGGGTCATCCGCTTCGGGAGTTGGCGAGTTGCAGCGAACATGGTAGACGAAACTATTTTCTCCCCTGAACTTTTTTCGCGTAGCTGGAGTGCGACCATTCTGAAGCTGAGACTAATTTCACACCCAAATTGATGTGCAACATTGCACATTTCAGCCTCGTCCGAAATCGGAATTGCTCGCCAGTTAGCCCTGGCGATCGCAACTTACAACGACGAAAGCTGCGATTTCGGGTAGCCCGTTAAAAAAAGGTATCAGAAAATCGTGAACATAGTCGGGTCGTTGACCCGAGGTGCTGTATTGCAGCTCGGGACTTCCCAAGATTTGGGAAGACTCGAACACCGGATGTCCCGAAGCCAGGAATCCGCCCTCAGCTTGCTTACTTAGCTGGAGGCAGGACTGCTGGAATTTGATGGATGGCAAGTCGATGCTCAGGAATCTTGATTTAGACACATGAAACCGTACCCAACCCATCCATGGACAAATCAAACTACAGAAACTTGAAATTGTCACTCAACTCACTAAACAGCAAGAAATGCCTTTCCTCCCTCCTAGAAAAAAACTGCTTCACATTTTAGATTGGGCAAGACAAGAAATTTCAAGGAACATAACGGTATGCGTAAATTTGTAATAGAAAGGTTCATTGGATAAATTAGTTGGAATGCCTATTTCACGGGAAAGAAACGGCTTTAGATGCTTCAGGTGCTGTACTGCATAGGGTGTCCTACAACAGTCATTTTTATAGGGTGTATACTTTGTAGTGGTCTGTGTCAAATGTTGTAGCCTATAGTGAGGTTTGTCTTAGGGGGTACAAAACTTAGGGTTAGCTATATGTACCCCAACCAACATCAATGCATCATTCATTCCTCATTCTGACATGGTATCAGTTAGGTTAGGATCCTGTGGGATCCCGTTTCTCCGTTCTCCGATCGTACCACCCGAGCCTGATCCTAGCTCTCGTTTCGCCCGTCTTGCCCGAGCCTAGTGCCGGCCCGATCTAGTCCCGTTCGTTCGTTACCGCTCGTTCTTCCTCCCGATCTAGCGTAGCCCGATCTAGCGTACCGCTGCCGGTCGCGCTGCGCTTTCCCCCCCTGATGCCCGTCGAGGCGCGCTTCCCCCCCGCTGCCGTTGAACCGCGCTTCCCCCCCCCCCCCCCCCGCTGCCCGTCAAACCGCGCTTCCCCCCGCTGCCCGTCGACCCGCGCTTCCCCCCGCTGCCCGTCGACCCGCGCTTCCCCCCGCTGCCCGTCGACCCGCGCTTCCCCCCGCTGCCCGTCGACCCGCGCTTCCCCCCGCTGCCCGTCGACCCGCGCTTCCCCCCGCTGCCCGTCGACCCGCGCTTCCCCCCGCTGCCCGTCGACCCGCGCTTCCCCCCGCTGCCCGTCGACCCGCGCTTCCCCCCGCTGCCCGTCGACCCGCGCTTCCCCCCGCTGCCCGTCGACCCGCGCTTCCCCCCGCTGCCCGTCGACCCGCGCTTCCCCCGCCGCCCGTCGACCCGCGCTTCCCCCCGCTGCCCGTCGACCCGCGCTTCCCCCCGCTGCCTGTCGACCCGCGTTTCCCCCTGCTGCCCGTCGATCCGTCGCCCTGGCCCGCGCCCCAGCCCGTCTCCCCAGCTCGCGCCCTAGCCCGTCGCCCTGGCTCGCGCCCTAGCCCGTCGCCCAGGCCCGGCGCCTTTGCCCTACCCGCGCGCCCGCCACACCTGACCTACCCGCCCGCTCTTGCCCGCTCTTCCTGCCCGTTCTCCCTTGCCGCTGCGCCCTGCTTTCCCTGCCAATTCCGTTTGCACACTATGGCGACCCCTCGCGTCCTTCGTTTCGATGCTGACGGTCGCCCGCTCGATTTCCCAGTCTGGCTTCTTCGCGCTCGCCGCCTGTTAGAGAGTCAGGTCCAGGCAGGCGAGACCCTCTGGGCGCACGCTACTGGTGCCCTACCTGCGCCCCCCGACCCTACGCCTTTAGGACCTGCCCCTGACGACGCCGCTAGAGCCCGCTTTGCCACTCAGCGAGCTGACCAGACGGCTTGGACGTCACGTGACGCTGCGGCCTGCATCGCGCTCAGCAGCCTCCTCCCTGAGTCTGAGGAGGTTCACTTCACTCAGGTTCGCACCGCTGCTGCGTACCTCACTGCGATTAAGGCCCGCTACTCTACTCCCGCTGCTGTCTCTCTTGGCCGCCTGTTCCTCCCGTTCCTGTTTCCTGACCTAGCGTCTTTTGAGCGCTCTGCTGACTTGATCGCTCACCTCCGCTCGCTCGACGCTAGTTACCGCGCTGCTTGCACTGAGGCACAGCTTGCACTGCTTCCTCCCCCTATGGCGATTACTATCTATTTCATCGCCACTAGCCTCCCTGACCGCCTTGCCTCCGTTCGCGACGCGCTTCTGCTGAAGCACCCTAGTGAGCTCACCGTCGAGGTCCTTGAGTCTGCACTCAAGGACGTCGAGAGCAACCTTCGCTCGGTAGCCGCTGCCTCTGGTGCTGTGCCCCCCCCACTCTTCCACGGGTGCACAGTCCCGCAGTTACCCACCTTTACTGCCTCACTTGCCACTGCCGCTACTGACGCGACTGCAGCTGCTGTTACGACTGCGTCGCGGTCCCGCGGTAGGAGTGGCAAGAAAGGCGGTTCTGGTGGTGGTAGTGGAGGTGGAGGCGGAGGTAGTGGAGGTGGCGTTGCGCCTGGCGGCGGTGGAGGTTCAGGGCCTGGAGAGGCGCCTCGTGCAGTGACTGGTGACTCCACTGCGCCTGCTGGTGGTGGCGACGCCCGAGTTCGTCAGTCGCCTCCTGTACTTCCTGCCCCGGTTGGTGGAGCAGCGGCGTGGTACCAGGCTCAGCGTCAGCAGCAGCTTCTGCAGCACCAGCAGCCCCTCTCCTCCCAGCAGCCTCAGCAGCAGCAGCGGCAGCAGCTGGCTCCAGGGTCGGGGCTGCGTCAGACCCAGCGCGGTGCTGCTTACACTCCCTGCACCTACCAGGTTCTGACAGGCCCTCGTCGTGGCCACCCTTGTGGCCGGTTTCACCCCCCTGGTCAGTGCTTTGCTCAGCTCACTGACACGGTTCGTTTGGTCTACGGGGTTGGTGCTCCTGCCCCTGACTGGCTGCCTCTTGTTCAGCGCTACGGCTCCGCTCTGTGGGGCATGTCTGCTGAGCAGTTAGTTGATCTCATTGGTACTCCCCATGCTATGTATGCTGTTGTTGACTCTAGTGTTTCTGACTCTGCTTACTCTGGTGTTGTTAGCTTAGGTGCTAGCCTTGCTCAGTTGCCTGTTGCTAGTGTAGGTTCTTGTGTAGACTCTAGTCCAGCGGCTACCTCAGAGGACGGTTCGCTGTCGTTCACGCTGGACTCTGGAGCTTCTCACTGCTTCTTTCGTGACAGCACGACACTTACGCCTCTTCCTGCGCCTGTTTCTGTGGCGCTGGCTGATCCCACTTCGGGACCAGTCACCGCGCGTCACACTACCACCTTGCCGTGTCCGGCTGCTCCTTCTGGGTCTCTCACTGGGTTTCACGTCCCCTCGTTCTCCCGGAACTTGGTGGGCGTGCGACCCCTCGTGAGTCAGCACGTGGGTGTGTGGTTTGAGCCTTCTGGAGAGACTGCGGTGTGTGTTGACGGGGACTCTTACCAGCCCCTCGCCACTTTTGCTGCTGAGCCGGGCTCCGGTCTCTACACTCTTCACACTCGCCCGCGCGCTCAGCAGCGACTGCAGCAGCAGCAGCAGCCGCAGCAGCAGCAGCAGCAGCAGCAGCAGCAGCAGCAGCAGCAGCGGCAGCAGCCGCAGCCGCAGCCACAGCCGCCCCTCCTGCCCCCGGCCCCTGTTTTGCCCCCCGTTCGAGTCCTCGCGTCTCACCAGGTTGCTCCGTCCCCCCAGGTAGCTGTGTCTTGTCAGGTTCCTCCGTCTAGTCCGGTCGCTGCGTCGTGCTCCTGTCGGTCGCTTGCCCACCCCACCGTTTTGTGGCACCACCGGCTGGGGCACCCTTCTCCTCCTCGTCTTCGCGCTATGTCTCGTCAGCGTCTTGTCTTAGGTCTCCCGCGTGTCTTGCCGTCGCTGCCGCCGTCCCTTGCACCACCGTGCGGTCCTTGCGTCGAGGGTAGGCTGCGCGCCACCCCTCACTCCTCCTCCCTTCGTCCGGCCACCGAGCCTTTTGAGACGCTGCACTTGGACGTCTGGGGCCCCTCTCCTCGCCCTGGCCCTGAGCGTGAGCGTTTCTTTTTGGTGGTCGTTGACGACTACTCCCGCTACACCACAGTGTTCCCCCTGGCGAGGAAGTCTGAGGTGACTTCTACGCTGATCAGGTGGTTGCTTACCACCCAGGACACTCGTGGTCGTCGTGTCAGCTGTCTCCACTCCGACCGCGGGGGCGAGTTTCGCTCCGGCATTCTCGCTGGATTCTGTCGCGAACAGGGCATTCGTCAGTCCTGGACGCTTCCGGAGTCCCCACAGCAGAATGGGGTTGCTGAGCGTCGCATAGGCCTGGTCATGGAGATTGCCCGCACCTCCTTGACTCACGCCCGTGCCCCCCATTTCCTGTGGCCATACGCGGTCAGGTACGCCGCGCACCAGCTGAACCTCTGGCCACGCGTCTCTCGGCCGGAGGCTTCACCGACCAGTCTTTGGACAGGGTCCCCTGGTGTCGCGTCGAGGTTTCGTGTCTGGGGGTGCTTGGCTCTTGTCCGCGACACCTCCGCGGACAAGCTCTCGCCTCGCGCCGTTCCTTGTGTCTTCCTTGGTTTCCCTGAGGACTCCTCTGACTTCACCTTTTACCACCCTCCCTCTCACCGGTTCTTTGACTCCCGTGACGTCCGTTTCGAGGAGTCCACCCCCTACTACGTCAGGTACCCCAGTCGAGGTCTCCCGGTCCCTCCCCCCCCTCTCTTCCTGACCGCCGCTCCCCCGCCTGCTCCCCCGGTACAGCCTCCCCCCCTGGTCCAGCCCCGTCTGGTGTGTCTCAGGCTAGCCCTCCCCCTTCGGTAGCCCCCCCTGTACAGCCTCCCTCCCCACAGTCTTCCTCGCCGCCTCCTGCAGGTGCTCCCTCTCGGGAGGTTGGTCCTGCGACTGTCCCTGTACAGGTCTCTGGTTCTGGGGGTGCTGGAGTTGGAGCTGAGCCGCGGGTTGCAGAGGACTCTTGTCTTCCGGGGGCTGGTACTGGTCGTGCGGAGTCTGGGGGTGCTGGTGCGGAGTCTGGGGGTGCTGCGTCTGGGGGTGAGGGTGTCCCTTCGGTTTCTAGAGAGCCTGGGTCTGGAGCTGGTGTTGGTGCTGCCTCTGGGGGTGGTGTACTTGGTGCTTCGGAGGTCGACTCTGGGGCTGCCGCTGCCCCGGACACTACTCCTTCCCCCCACCCCTACCCGACCAGGTTCCAGGCTCGTGTTCGCCGTGCTCGTGAGGAGCAGCTGGAGTTGGAGAGAGAGGAGAGAGAGTTGCAGCGGCTCGAGGAGCAGGAGCGACAGCAGCAGGAGCAGCAGCAGGGGCAGCAGCCGCTGGAGCAGCAGCAGCCGCAGCAGCCGCAGCAGCAGCAGCTGCCGTCTCCTCCTCCTGTCTCGGGTCTTCGGACCCTTGGTCTCCCCTCTCCCTCTCCTTCCTCCTCCCCCTCTCCTCCCGTCTCTGGTCCTCCGCTTCCTCCTCCTGACCCCTCTCCCGCTGTTTTCCCTCGTTCTCAGTCTTCGTTGTCTCCTCCTCCTTCTCAGACTTGGGCCTCTCGTCGCTCCCCTCGTGCTCGTCCCTCGTCTCCTGTTCCCTTCACTGACCTTCGTACAGCCTTCCTTTGTTCTCGTCCACCTCGTCCGTCTCCGTCTGTGCTTCCGTCTCCTCCTGAGTCGGCCCTCACTGTGTCGCTTCCTTCTCCTGTCACTGACTACTACCGCACGTACCGTCCTGTTCTCTCTCGTGTTCTTGCCTCTCTTGTTACCCACCCTCGTGCCTCTGTGTCCTCTGTGTCCGCTCTTACTGCCGCAGTCACTGAGTTTGCCTCTACTCGCCGCCTTGACTTCGCCACCGCTCTTGTGGCTGCTCCTCCTTCCAGTCCTCTGGCCGTCGGGGGTGTGTCTGCCCTTGGCTGTGACGCCCTAGAGGACAGGCAGTTTGAGCTAGAGTTCCTGGCGGCCGCTTCCCCTCATCTCTGTGCCATGCTCCTCGCCCCTGAGGGTGACCCCAACGCCCTTGACATTCCGACTCCTCGCACTTACGCTGAGGCAGTGTCAGGGCCTTGGGCCTCTCAGTGGAGAGCTGCCATGGACGCAGAGATGGCCTCCTACAGATCCACAGGCACCTACGTCGATGAGGTTCCCCCTCCGGGGGCGAACGTAGTCGACGGCATGTGGATCTACAGGGTGAAGCGGCCACCGGGATCTCCTCCGGTCTTCAAGGCGCGCTACGTGGCTAGAGGTTTCAGTCAGCGCGAGGGAGTTGACTTCTTTCAGACCTTCGCGCCCACCCCGAAGATGACCACTCTTCGGGTGTTACTACACGTAGCAGCACAGAGAGACTACGAGTTACACTCTCTCGACTTCTCTACTGCTTTCCTTCAGGGCAGTCTTCACGAGGAGGTCTGGTTGCGTCGTCCCTCTGCCTTCACTGGCTCTTTCCCTCCTGGGACCCAGTGGAGGCTGAGGCGACCGGTTTACGGACTTCGTCAGGCTCCTCGTGAGTGGCACGACACCCTGCGTTCTACCCTGTCTGACCTTGGGTTCCAGCCGTCTTCTGCTGACCCGTCGCTGTTCGTTCGTCGTGGCCCCACACCTTTCTTTGTTCTGGTCTACGTTGACGACCTTGTTTTCGCCACCCCTGACAGGGTTGCTTTGGCACACGTGAAGTCCGAACTGCAGAAGAGACACACCTGCACTGATCTTGGTGAGCTGCGCCACTACCTTGGCCTGCAGATCACCAGGGACAGAGCTGCTCGCACCATTACACTTTCACAGTCGCACATGGTGCAGCAGGTCCTTCAGCGGTTCGGGCTTTAGCACTCCACAGTACAGCGCACACCTCTTGCTGTTGACCACAGACTCACTGGACCCTTTCCTGACGAGCCGTTCGAGCCTAGTGGTCCCTACGCAGAGCTTGTGGGTTGCCTCATGTACCTGATGACTTGTACTCGCCCGGACCTCGCCTTCCCTCTCAGCGTTCTTGCGCGCTTTGTTGCGCCAGGGAGACACCGTCCTGTTCACTGGACAGCAGCTGTGAGGGTGGCGAAGTACCTAGCGACGACGTCAGGCGTGGGGCTAGTTCTTGGAGGGCAGCAGTCTGTCGTACTTACTGGTCACTGTGACTCCTCTTACGCTGACGACGCTGAGACTCACAGGTCTACTCAGGGGTACTGTTTCAGCCTGGGTTCTGGAGCTGTTTCCTGGCGGTCCACGCGCTCCTCTTCGGTCTCGACCTCTACAGCTGAGGCTGAGATCTACGCTGGTGCCATGGCGGCACAGGAGCTGCGTTGGTTGACCTTCTTGCTCACCGACCTTGGTGAGCGGCCGAGCTCTGCACCGACCTTGTTCACTGACAACAAGGCGTCTATTCTCCTTTGTCGAGAGCCACGACTGGAGAGCAGAGTGAAGCACATTCACGTCAGGTACTTTCTTCTGCGAGAGTTGCAGAGGCGTGGACAGGCTCGCTTTGAGTTTGTGGAGTCCGAGGCCAACACTGCAGACATCTTCACCAAGGCGCTTCCGCCTTGTGACCACCAGAGGTGCTGTGTGCAGTTAGGCCTTGTTGACACTGGTTCTCGTGTTGCTTAGACTTGAGTGTACTGTTTACTTTGCTTTCTATATACCTCTGTTACTTCTTGGACTGGCCTTGTGGCCACTGTTGTTTGTGCTCAGACTGTGTGGTGACGTTGTGATCCACCCTGAGCTTCGTTTCTTGGACTGGTCTTGTGACCGTACTCGTTTGGTTCTGCTAGACACCCCTCACTTAGGCTATGGGGGTGTGTCAAATATTGTAGCCTATAGTGAGGTTTGTCTTAGGGGGTACAAAACTTAGGGTTAGCTATATGTACCCCAACCAACATCAATGCATCATTCATTCCTCATTCTAACAGTCTGTTGTTTTCTCCACGCACGATGCGCTGACTCGAGTTTGTTCAGCCACTTTCAACTCCTCGTCAGTGGGACTTTCCTTACCAGACCCGAACCAGCAGGTGTAGAGATATGGCAATTTGTAACACTTTCCAAACCAATCACATGGCCGAGATCAAGGGACAAGGTGCGAAACCGTACCTAATGGTCAAACTGCTGGGGCATTGACTGGTCGTGGGGTGCAAACGGGGTGAAACTAGATTAGGGCGTGGGCAGCGCGTTCATTTTCTCCACTTTTCCAAAATTTTGACGCCCGTCGAATCAGGAAAATACTGTAGCATTTTTGCACCGCGCTTAGTTTGTGTCCCAGGTGGGACACGCGCGTCCAGAATTAGGCACAGGTCCCGCCACACTTTTGCCCAACCGCCCACCCAATGAGGTAACCCTGTGCTAGTGGATCTGGTGACGGGGAGCAGTACGAAGCTGTATTTGTGAACCCATGAATTTGCGAGGGTCGTACGCGCTTGACGAACTCGTGGTGCGGTTTCGCTGACCTGCACACAGGCATTCTCGAATGATGCGCGTGTTGTTCGCGGCCGTCGTGGGAACGTGTTCTGTTCGGTTGACGGCACGGAAAACAGCCACCGTTCATCCACTGTATACTCCATCGTGTCCGCTCGTTACTCTAAATCAGGGTTACAAACCGCTGAATCTGGTAACTGTTTCGGGCTAAGCCAAGAAAATGAACGCGCTGCCCCCGCCCTTAGGCCGCAGCAAACCAACATTTCCAATCATCAGCGTTCCCTTCGATCTCACTACCACAAAAGTAGTCTCTTCTCACAACTAGTGATCGCATACCAGTTTCCTTCACACTTGAGACCTGTTTCTTTACGCGCAACCCCCAGCCATGGCTTCCAAGACACTGCTTATCGTCTGCTTCATGCTCCTCGCAGTGAGATCCGCATTCGCGCAGCGCGGCCCGCCTCGCGGAGGCCCGCCCGGCGGTCAGGGGCCGCCAGGAGGGGCGCGCGGCGGAGGCCCTGGTGGGCGCGGCAGGCCTGACGGCGGCCCTGGCGGGCAGCCGCGCGGTCCTCCGTTGAACCTTCCGGTCGTCGGCAATCTGACAGCGGACGTTGGCGCGCAGCTGAAGAATTGCTCCGCGGACCTGACCTTCGTTGACGGCCGCTTCCACCTCACCGTCTTCAAGTAAGCCCCGCCTGCACCCGACCCCCCCACTCATTCTTCCCTAGAGTTTTATAGTGCGCAATGCCTACACGAGGCGTATTTATTCCCTTTTCCCACTCACTGAGGAGTCGCCCCGTTACTCATCAGATTTGCATCTCTCTGCCTCCCGCGCCCTCCTCCCCGCGCCGCTCGTCCACGCAGGAACTCAACGGGCAACTACAACATCCTCGTCGACGCGCTTCTCGTCGGAGGCGACGCCGCGGCCGGTCCGCCCGACTCGATCGCGATCGTGGAGGGCGCCGTGTGCGACTCGGCCGCGTCCGCCGCCGCCGTGATCTCGCTGCCCTTCGCCGCCTCCGATTGGCTGCAGCGCGCCGGCTGGTGGCTTCTGCACGCCGAGGCGCGCCTCGACGCGTTCCTTGAGAACGCCGACGCGACCTCCGTCGAGGCGCTCCTCGCGCTCCTTCCCAACGCGTCGCTCCCGCGCAGCAATGGCGGCGGGCGCGGCGGGCGCAACGGCGGAGGCAGTTCCGGGGGCGCGGGGGGTGCGGGAGGCGCGCGGAACGGGCAGGGCAGCAGGCGCATGGGGCTGGACGTGGGGAGGGTGGGGAGGATGCTGATGCGCGCAATGGCCCGCGGCCCCGTCAAGCAGGGTTGGCAGCAGCAGGGGGGTAACGTCGTGAACAGCACCGTGAGCGGATATGCTGTTCTGGCTGGGAACAGTGGGTCTGGCGTCATCTGGGGTGGGCAGCTCATGGGCGTCAAAATCCCCTCGGCTGCTGCTGCAGCATGATTCGGCAGTGCTGTGCTGGAGTGGCAGAGTGTGATGGTGCGGCCGTGATGCCACTGCTTCAAGACATGGAATATGGGCATTTGCTTTAGTGGTAAAGTGGGTAGTGCTGAAATGGGTGATGCAGCAAGTGGGTAGTGTACATGTGTGGGTTCTGAGCATGGGGGCAGGAATGCTTGCAAGCTGCAATGACCTGCCTTGCCAGCATTCCTGCCTCTAACAGCTCATGAGTACCTCTTAGGGTAGATTTAGTTCTGCGTGTGCGGTTTTGTCCAGCAACGGAAATTCCTCGGCACTACGGGTCCAACTAGAGCCCCTTGTTTCCAAAATTTGACAGCCACAGGGTATAGTGAAGAGGGTACAGGGTTGGCTGATTGAGAGTGCCTTTCAGCAAAGTGAACTGTGAGGCAAACTGACGAACATGGAGAAGTGACCAGACGTTAGTGGGAAGGGTACATTGTTATCACAACGAGCTGTTGGGCAAGGCGAATACGCTGCATACTACAGTCCGCCTGGCAAAGGGTGCACGGAGACACATGCTCATGGTGAACAGATTGGCCACGGAATCTAGCTATTGTGGCTGAGAGTTCAGAATCACGACGGGTAATTATGACGCGTAAAAACGTCTTCTCTGACTAGAGCATACGAGGACCAATCTGAGTTCTAAACTTTTGATAATTCGAGAAATGATCGTCGCCCTGTCGGAGGGAAAATAAGTCGACACGCAGTGCAACGCGTTTCAAGTCCCGAGCCGACAAAGAATCTTGTTCTCCCGGAGGTTAACATCGATCTGCTCGATTGCTTCCCGTAATACGTCGCAAGCCCGTTCTTCCCGCTTTCGACGCCCATCGCAGCGACGAGTATACAGTTACGTGATTGCTAAAAGACATAGCACGAACGCCGCGATTTGCAAAAGCGATTAGTACAGCTGATGTGAGGTACTGCTTGCTGACAATTCGCAAGTGCTGTGCAAGAATATGAATTCAAAGGCATCAAACCGTACTCAACCGACTCACAGAGTTAATTCAACATCTCTCACTAAACTCAACACAACACCACACAAACATCAGAAGGAATCAAAGAGTATGCTATGCGCTAAGTATTTGTACAGGGGAAAGTCGATTTGCTATATTATATTTTTCCATATAATTGCGACGAGCCTTCTAATATGCTACAGCTAGTCTTACGGCATTAGCACGTATGCAGTGTAGGAGTCAGCCAATTTCTCCACGCAAGTGGCGCTGACTCGTCCATTCTTTGGATATTTTCGGGCATTTTCAACACCTCGAGTTTGGTACTCTCCATACCGAAACCGAACCAGCCGTAACTCTCTCTGCACCAATCACATACCTGAACTGAGCGAGGTGCGATACCGTACCTGAAGGGCATACGTCTTCAGAGTTGACCAGTCGTTGAGTGCAAACGAAGAAAGCTATAAATGGCCATCGCAGAAACATCTCTGATCATCATCTTTCCCTCCCACCCCCCAACTTCAATCACGAACAGTTTTTCACTGCTACATTGCCCACAGCTTTTCGTCACGCACTCAAAGCCTGTCTCGCCTTACTCGCAACCCCCTGCCATGGCCTCCAGGAAACTGCTTATTGTCTGCTTCACGTTCCTCGCAGTGACGTCCGCCTTCGCGCAGCGCGGCCCGCCTGGCGGAGGCCCACCTGGTGGTTGGGGTCTGCCAGGGGGACCGCGCGGCGGCGGCCCTGGTGGGCGCGGCGGGCCTGGCGGCAGCCCTGGCGGGGAGCCGCGCGGACCTCCGCTGAACCTGACGCTTGTCGGAAATCTGACGGCGGACGTTGGCGCGCAGCTGAAAAATTGCTCGATGGACCCGACCTTTGTTGACGGCCGTTTCCACCTCACCGTGTTCAAGTAAGAATCGCCAACACCCGACCCCCGGCCCCACTTTTCTCGCCGAGTTGAAGTAGAAACCTGAGCCCCTCTTAAACAATGCGCCGCGAAAGTTTACACGAGGCGGCCCTTTTTCGTTTCCGTCCAATCGTGGCATGAGACCGTCACTTAGCAGAATTCATATCTCTCCCTTCCACGCCCTCCTCCTCGCTCCGTTCCTCCTCCCCGCGCCGCTCGTCCCCGCAGGAACTCAACGGGCAACTACAATATCCTCGTCGACGCGCTTCTCGTCGGAGGCGACGCCGCAGCCGGCCCGCCCGACTCGATCGCGATCGTGCAGGGCGCCGTGTGCGACTCGGCCTCGTCCGCCGCCGCCGTGCTCTCGCTGCCGTTCGCAGCCTCCGATTGGCTGCAGCGCTCCGGCTGGTGGCTGCTGCACGCGGAGGCGCGCCTCGACGCGTTCCTCGAGAACGCCGACGCGCCCACCGTCGAGGTGCTCGTTGCGCTCCTCCCGAACGCGTCGCTCCCGCGCAGCAATGGCGGCGGGCGCGGCGGGCGCAACGGCGGAGGCAGTTCCGGGGGCGCGGGAGGCGCGCGTGGCGGGCAGGGCAGGCGCATGGGGCTGGGCGCGATGGCACGCGGTCCCGCCAAGCCGGGGGGGCAGCAGCAGGGCGGGCAGCAGCAGCCGCTTGCAGGTGGCTTTTCAGGTGGTTTTCCAGGTGCGGGGGCGGGCAACGGTGTGAACAGCACGGTGAGCGGATATGCTGTTCTGGCTGGGAATAGTGCTTCGGGTGTCATCTGGGGCGGGCAACTAATGGGCGTAAAAATCCCCTCTGCTGCTGCTGCAGCATGATTTGGTGCCCTGGGTTGGTGCTGCACCAATGAGAGAGATGGTGCTGCTTTGATAGCAACTGCTTCACGTGATGAGATAGTGCTGAAGTGGTTAGTAGTGAGAGAGGGTGGTGCTGAAGCATGGGGGCAGGAATGCTGGCAATGCAAGCGGCAATGACCTGCCTTGCCAGCATTCCTGCCTCACAGCACTTGGGCTGGGCACCTCTAGGATTTTGATTCATGTGGTCTCTGTGGCAATGGAAATTTCTCCTCACGAGCTTTACAAATCTCTAGCCAACAATAACTCCTTGCTTCAGAAAGATGCTTCAGAAGCTTACAGTGAACAAGACATTGTACAGTTGAACATTCAAACCAGGAAACTAAGAATTTGGTCTCAATAAGGCCCAGCCACACACATTATCGCAGGAGTATGGTTGTCAGATGGCTAGGATACCGTACTGCAACAGGTGTAGCGTCAGGCAACATGAAATCTGCAGCAGGATCAGGAAATTGCAAGGCCTCGAACATGCACAGCAGCAGTAGAACCCAATGCATCCAACATGGCATGCAATTGTAGATCCTTCAACCAGAACAATGCAACATACTTCTTTGGTGTAACCCTAACGCCGTCGACATATGCATCCATCCAATGCCACACCCTTCATGCACAACCCATCTCACCCTAACCTGTGAAGCCCAAGCCAGCCCACAAGCCAAGCAGCATCCATTCAACTGAACAATGACAACACAGGTACTGGTATGTGTCAAGAGGACTCCAGGTTATTGATGCTGGGCACTCTTAGCCTGGAATGCCGTACCAGGCTGATGAGAGACAGCGAAATCCAGGTCTAATACGGCGCGGTTGTTTAGCAGATCAGGCGAGGAGGTTAATCAACATCTCGATTCGAAGATAGCTCGTCGGCATTATCGAGGTAACATGGCAATTCTTATGACGAGCACTTCGTTTCAACGCTCCTATGGTGTCATAGCAGAAACGAGGTCGCCCATAGCACCCACCCCGCACAAGCTACCCGGGGGTGCTCTATCATGGGGGGGTGTTTTGTCCGGGAGAATACGGTACGGGGTGCCCGGCAGTGCTACATGGTGCTAGGAGTTATGCCAGGCCAACACAGCCCCTGGTTTGATTATCAAACGCAGAGCGCTCGGAGAAGCGAGGTGCCACGTGCATGTTCTCGAAACGGTATAATTTCAGAGGAAGGGGGATTAAGGGGGGAGATGCGGGGGGGGGGGGAGGGGGGAGAGATGTCTTGGACGTGTGGCACGAAGAAAGATCAGATGAACTAAGAGCAAATCGGATCGCCTAATTAGAAATCGATTTGAAAGTCGCTACAGGACAGTCAGTAGCCGAACGGCGTAACAATCAGCAGGCGCACACACAATCGCTACGAGCCGACATCCACGAAACAGGGCCTCCAGCCAAAATCGCGGGATCACTACCACCACTACACCATCCACGACTGCTACAAGTCACCGTCGCGGCGGCTGCAAAACGGCAATCCACGCCCAAAATTGCTACCGGGCTGCCACACGTAGGACGAGCCATAAGCGATCAGGTGTCAGTCGCTCGAAACGGGGGGCACCACGTCGAAGCACACTACCAAAGCGCGACGTAACAGCTGCCGAAAGCACTAAAACTTAGCGGCGGGGGCGGAAGGGGGGGCCTCCGGCGCCGCCGCCGCGGCCAAAGTCGCGGTCGTCTCGGCGGAAGTCGTCGCGCGGGTGGCTGCGGGGACCCTGGCGGGCGAAATCGATTCGCAGGTTCGGCGACGTGTAATCGTTCTCGTCGAAACGGTACCCTGCAGGGTTTACGAGGCCAAGGGGAGCGTGCACGGATCGCCAGGGGGGAAGGACTAGAATCGACAGATCGAACATAAAATTGTAGTGTAACCCGTCTCGTGTGAACAATAATAGTCTGCAAGCCTGCACAAGTCGCCGGGAAGAAAAGTGGCACACGGACGCGCGCAACGCACCGGCTGCAACAGCAGCAGCCGTCGGGATCTGGTGGGCGGAAGCGTGCGTTAGATTCGTAGGAGAGATCGACATTACGATAAATCGAGGAAGTCTAAAGCGAGGCGCACACGAATTGGATTAGATTACCTATGATTCGACGAGACCTGGTGGAAACATGCTGCGTCGGGACCAGCTACTCGTCACGGGGGATCGTATCCGAGGGAGATCGTATACGAGGGAGATCGTATCGGTTTTACACCACAACTCGTCCGAGAACTTCCGACCTTGAGGGACCACCACTTCGTTCGCACGGACTCGCATCGCCTGTCGCGGTCTACTTCATCTGACGCGCCTCGATTGTTGAGAAGCGTAGCTAGTACTCGTAACTTCCACAACCATTAGCATGCTTCTCTGACGCGCCTCGACTGTTGAGGGACACTACTAAGATAAATTGGAGACGCTTCCGGGAAACTCGCTACGCCTGCAGCTCCTCCCAGAAATTATGCCCTTATCCTCTCAAGAATAAGAGCCTTACCTTCTTGCCAGCAGCCCTCACCGCCCTACCTTGCAGGGAACCCCACCTTGCAGGGCCTCTAGCGCCGTGGCGGCGCAGCGCGCGTCGGCGAAGTCGACGAAGCAGAGGATGAGCTTCTCCGGCTCGCCGCCCTGCAGCACGCAGCACGCAGCACGCAGCACGCAGCACGCACCACGCACGACGCAGCAGATAAAGCCAACGAGAATACAACGTCTTGTATGTTTTGCGAACTCGACTGGAAAGCAAAAGCGGGTAAAGTAGTTGGGTTGGCTGAAAGTGCAGGCTGGGCGCAGCAGTGGGGGCAACAGACGAGCGCAGGGCCAGAGGGGCCAGCGACGTACCCGGCGCACTTCCTTGGGCACGAGGCGCACCTCCTTGAAGCCAATGAACGGCCGGAATATGTCTGCGCGCGGGGGGACGGACAGGGCGCGGGGGGAACGGACAAGGCGCGGGGGAGCGGAGGAGAGGGGAAGCTAAGGGGAAAAAAGAGAGTGAGGACGGAGGATATTGAAGGGCAAGGGGTAGTATAAGGCACGCTAAGGGCAAGGGGGACGTACGGCAGGCCTCGCGGCGCGAGCAGTCGGGGGGAAGGTTGTCGATGTAGAGCGTGGGGGACGCGTCGTGCGGGATGGGCATGTCCCCCGGATGCATGTCCATCGGCGGCATCCCCCCCGGACCCACCCCTGGCGCGCCCATCCCGCCAGGCATGGGCATGGGCGGACCCGCCGGCCCGCGCGGCATGGGCGGACCCGCCAGGTCCATTCCGCCGAGGCTGCGCATGCCCGATCCGGGGGGAGGCGGGCCGAGATGGTCGTCCGGCATGCCGCCCAATCCGAGCGTGCCAGGTGGCGCCAGGCCTGGTGGTGCCAAGGAGCTCTGCGGACAGGAACGGAGAGGAAAAATGGTGAAAAAACATCAAACGTTTATTCAACTATGACCTTTTAAGGACACATCTGACAAACGAGATTGGCAGACAACGAGACGCATCCGCGACACATCTGATCCAGATCCCCGAGTAGTGCGACGCACCAGATCGCCTCGTCTCAGCCCCGCAGGGTCGGCGTCCCGCCATCCGCCAGGCGCGCCGTAACCCGGAGCTCCCGACCCCCTTGGGGGGGACCGCCGATCCCGCCGTACATTGCGGAACCCGGGGGCGGCGCGTCGTACTCTGGATAAGAGGGGCACACAAATTAACGCGTTGCGGAAAAGTAGCAGCAATTTGAGGAATAAATATTAAAACATGCATGCCTACCAAATCGGCCGTACTATGAAAGGAACGAACAGAAGTGTATCAGTAAAAACTTACCGTAGTCTCGTCGGCGTTTCACACTGTTTGGCGGTGTCCCAGCACCCCGTCCGCGATCGGCGGCGTATCTATCGCCGTACCGATCGCCTGCGTCATACCTCCAGTCAGCCATCCCAGAGGACGCTCAAAGCAAAAGAGCACGAAAGAAGCAAGCAGGAAAAACCTGGTAGTCACGAAAAGAAAAGCCTGGAACAAGGACGCCTGTGTGGCCAAGACCGAGGGGTCTAAATAATGCCTTGATCTTGAACCGAAACATTTTCCTTTTCACAATTGATTTGCCCTACACAACCCTCTGTCCGGCCCCAGAAAAACCTAGGGTGTTTCCCCTATGTGTGAATGCAAAATATTTAAAATATTGGTGACTGTAGTTTAGTACGAAGCATGAGCGCAATACTCATGCAGCCGACGCGTTTCGCAGCAGTTGCTTTGCTGTATTGAAATATTGTGATAACCTTTGCCAAATTACGCAAGGAAAAGGAGTGGAAACGGGAAGAGAGGAGAAAAGGAGGAATAACGTGAGTAGAAAAAAGGAGAGAGGAAGAAAGAAGGAGGGGAATAGGGGAAAAATGATAGGAGGAAGAAAAACAGGGAAGAAGGAAGAAAAAGTAGCACACACAACCCCAAGAAAACCCCAATAGCACACACATTTAAAACACCATCAAGCCCTCCCATCAAAGCACCCCAACTGCACTCCCATCGAACCAAACCTCCCCCCCTAAACCCACTCCCTAAACCCGCATGTCTACCAAGTATGGTGCATCCGCCCACGGAGCATCCCATCCCATCTCCTCCTCAACATCCTCCCGCTCCACCCAAACAGCCTCTGGGCCTCTCATCATCGACGCAGCGCGTAACAAGATCACACGCGCCTGAGCCCGTTGCAAAGCCACACCCACAGCCGCTTTGAGCGATCCGAGCAAATAAGCCGAGAAACCCTTTCCCGTAGCTCGCGCCGCCCCTTTCGTCTTTGCTATCTCGATCTGCGCGTCACCCTGCTTCTTAAGCCACCGTCCAAAACTCCCCCCCAAGCATCCCCATGTCTCAGCAATGAGTGGTGTGAACTGCACTCCCCCATGCCGCTGTAGAAGCGATTTGTAGTCCGCCGTCTTCCGCTTTTCTCTCTCTCTCGCGGCAAAACCCACCTTGCGACCAATCTGTCCATGGTGCTGCGCGGATAGCGAGATAGGATCTACCACACTAACCTCCAGCG